TTGAAATGTTACAAACCATAAGTTTGCATGGCATTCGAGCATGTGTGCAGTCATAATTACTGCAAATGACCGTGAGTGTAGCGCGCCATGTTTTGGAGCGCCGTCCTTTTACCCTGAAACCGAAATATTGGAGAGATTGTTCCGGTTGCACAGCAACTCACGCCCCTTCATACGCCCTATCGTACGCAGGAACCATGACCATGGTGATCATGCAAATGACACTGGAAATAGTTAAGTAATAGTTGAGAACCTACCCAACAATTGTTGAATATGTGAATGTTGTTACAAAAGCAAGAGAAAAGCAAAGCTGTGCCAGTGCGCACATAATTTTGGCCTTTTTTAGCTCAGCCTAACAGAGAAGCGCAAAAAGCCGTTGCGCGGAGATATTCGCACTAGGACCCAATAGTTTAAACGTACAAATGCTGTCAAGTCAGCTGGCTAAGAAATACTCTTCTAATTGATGGGCGCAGGGCACATCGTTGTTGGGGAATCCCCAATAGGGGGGGGGTCGTATTTGGCCGCCAGGAGAGGGGGTCGTATTTGGGCTGGGAAAAATTTATTTTGATAGTTGATTTTTCTCGCTTCATGGACGTTGTAAAGGGGGGGTCGTACTTGGTCATTTTCGAGAGGGGGATCGTATTTACTTTCTGGCCTTTCTAGAAGTGGTGGTTGACTTTTCGTGATTTTCCTCTTTCACATGTGCTATTTATCCCCCCCCCCCCCGCCCCGTCCCCTCCCCCGCTCGACGACTCGATTCGCATGAGGAATTAAACAGAGGGCCTGCCGTTCTGGGCGGGGGGGTCGTACCAACTCCCAAAAAAGGGAGAGGGGGTCGTATTAGAAGTCGACTAAAATCCCAACAATGATGATACCGATGTATGAGCGAATTGCCGCTTTCTGAAAATGTCATGAAATTCAACCATATCAGTCAATGCAGGAGACCATCTGCGGATAGTGAGGTTTTCCAGCTCAAACCCCTCTTTCGAAGTGCCACCGCTCCCCATGATGCCAAGGTGGTAAACGAAGCTCTTTTACTCATGAGACGATAATGTACAGTGTAAAAACTGACTTGACGATTTCAGATGAAGACTGTAGGAATCAGAATAACTTTCATGAAGGATATAATTGAACGCGGATCTCAAAATCCTCAGCCAAGGCATCTACCGACGAAAGACGATATTTACATTATCTGGTAGGTTTACGATTTTCCCGAATCATTTCCTTATTGCATTAGTCATGAACTTGTCATTCAGCTATACTTCTGGAACTACCGGCACACCGAAGGGCGTTATCATCACGCACGCATGTATTCTGGCAAACGTCAGCGGATGGATTTTTGCTGTGAACAAGTTCCTGCCGGATATGATCAGCCCTAATCTGGTACGTTTTAGTCATCCTCCAGAAGAGCTGCTGACTGAAATGGTTCCATCGATGAGGGTCAAGTCTTCAGTGAGATTCAGAGTTACGTAAGCTAGAGAAACAGTAAGACCATCACCGCAGGTTTATGATGGCTTTGTGATGCACGTAATAACAAAAGATTATTTTGAAAGCAACCAATGACAGCGCAGACAAAGAGGACAGGGTGGAGCTTCAATTTTTTAAAGACTCATTCGAGTTGATAGCAGTCTTCTTTCATTCCGGCAATCGACTGCGCAAAGGTTCCAAGCAAGCCGCATCGAAGGTGTCACCCTCGCCCCCGAGAGGACCTCGATGTATTGACCAGGACGTGTAGTTCCATTGGAGAACATTCTTGCAAAGTACGATACTTTTGAAATCTCCTTCCTATTACGACCCCTCCCCATCCCTGCCCCCTCCCACACACTCTGAGATCTCCCAACTTCCTGTCCGCAGTTTTTTTTTCAGAAATTCCCTCTTTTTTCCCAAAAACCCGTCGAGCAGAGGGGGAGGGGTATGGAGCACGTAAAACGGGAGAAGCTGAGAAAACTCAACAACCGAATACGTCTTTTTTTAGATGCAATTGCAACCCTGCTCGCTGGGGATCGCCAACATTCGACGTGCCCTGGAGGGACCTCCTTCCATACCTACCTTTGCGACCCAACATATTCACCGCCCACTCAAATTTCCCCAGCACTTTGCTGATATGCGGTCGGGAAATGGGCCGTAGTAAGAGTTCTGGAGCGCCGCCCACTGCGACAGTACAAAGCGCACCTGAAAGTGAAAAATCAGTAATAAGAAAAGATCCGCTCAAAGCCTAGCACTTCGCCCTTCCCAGGAACTTCCCAGGGACTTTGATAAGTTTCAGCAGCGATGGTGCACTCTGGTCCAAATGTGTCCAAAATTGATAATCGAATTATTCTTGAAGTGCTTCAAATAGGTTTATTTTTGGTTTGACAATTTTTTCTTATTCATTGGACTAGCCACTGCTCAGGAGCCTTTGCTAACTCCGCGTTTTGTTCGCAGTTAAAAATTCTCGGTTATTTCAACTCGCCAATTTTTACAACGGGATACTGACCAGATACTCGCCTAATTGTGTGCATAGGCGCTTTTACTGGTCTAAGAGAAAAATATTTTTCTGTACAACTTTTTGTACAGTGACCAAAAATTTTCTCGCCCCACAAATTATGGACCTTAAGAAGGGACCTTCCTCTGCTTGTTTACTGGTTTTATATTTTTTCCCGTGTATTGAAGTTTGCTAATGAGCTTCAGCAGAAGTGTAAATGAGAGGGAATTGGACATTTTAATTTCGTTTACCTCACGTGTCGGCAGATTTTAAAGGGGCGCATTCGTGAGGGCACGTTTAATTGATTTTATGGGATTGGTGAATTTTTATACACGTTTTCTTCTACGCGAATAATTTATTTTTATCAAACGAAACGAAAAGTTTTGTTTGATTTTTGGACACGTAACCCACTTTTTCCGGTTCGTATTTTATGCATAAGTTTACCTGCATTTGCTTCTCGAATAATTTTTATAATGAAAGTCATTTAAAGTTGATACAATTCAACAAAAGGGAAATCCCAAGGGAGGAAGACCACTCATAGGTGTTTCAAGCAAGGGGACGCCCTTACACAATGTTGGGGGAGAGGGGTATCTAACCCAGAAAATTAAGGGTATTAGATCTGCAGGGAAAGAAACGGAGTAGAGGGCGGACTAACTTTCAAGCGTCTAGGCGACTTGTCTTTTTTATCACATTCCCAAGATGTTTCTCAAGTCGCGATTCCCTCAGCGAAATTACCCACTGCCCCAAGCAGGACGCATAATTAAGCAGGATGGCACCTCGCGGCCAGTAGCACCGAGTCGGTTTGAATAGACTGCGTTTATACTTTGCGGCAGCGTAGCGTAGCGCTTCCAGCGTACGCCAGCGGCAGTGCCGGGGAGAGGATGGATATCGATCTAGCGTTCCCAGCGTCACCAGCGTAACGCTAGCGTTACGCCAGCGTTTCACCAGCGTTTTGCTGGCGTTTGCAGCGGCAGGGGAGTAGAGACTATGTGGCCGTAAGAGACGCGCAAAATCGATGTGTATTGTACCTCCAAGCCTCTCCCATAGGCTCTTACTCCCTGCGCCGCTTGCAAACGCTAGCCAACCTTGGTTTGAAGAACGCTGACGAAACGCTAGCGGTACGCTAGGAACGCTAGAGGGGGGGTTGCGATATCATCCTTCTCCCCGGCCACTTTGCCGCTGGGGCGTTACGCTGGGAAGCACTACGATACGGCAAGGATTAACCGCCAGCCTTAGTAATTGTTCGAACTAACAGACGTTCCAGTGCGGGAATTCCTCAATTTATAGCATCCGTATTGACTATCAATTATGTTTTTAAAACTGGTTTGCACAGGATACCAAGTATTTCTCTCTGGGTTAAGATGATTTTTTGTGTCTAGGAAAACACTTGGTACAGTAATTGATTTCAGCTCACTATCTCCTACCTCCCTCTTTCTCATATGATGGAACAATTGTCCCACTGGTGTTTGCTCACGTTTGGTGGCAGAATAGGCTTAATCTTTCAGGTGGAAGTTTATTTTTTTTTTTTTTTTTTTTCCGGTTTGTAAAACCACATTTAACTTTTATAGATTTTACTCTATACACTGCATACAGAATTTTGATCACGGATAGCTCGGAAAATACTTTACCACAAAGTTCCGGGACAATTTTGTTATTAGTGAGTTGAGATCTTCCGTGTACGAAGAAAGGTGATCCACCGTTATTGACTGGACAACTCACATCAGGTCGGGAGGCCGGTTTCCAGGAAGGCGGGAAGGTGAGCCGGCCCGGTTGACGACAGACGGACAGAGTGGCAGCAGCTGCCAAGCATCGAAACGTTACAGAAAAGGGCATGGGTGAGCAGGAAACGGATATTTCAAAAGGGAGGGGATTCCGGGGTGGCTGAGCTACTTAGAATCGGTGAAAAATTGAAGTGAGCGAAGTCACAACGGCCATAGAGTGCCATGCGGACGAGAGAGTTGCAAGAGAAAATGGTAAGATTCGACGCGTTCAAAGTTTAAGTTTTCGGAGTTTGGTTCCACACATCCTCCTGAAACCGCCCTGACTTGATTGCGACTTATGTAAGAGGGTTGTTTTTTTTTTTTTTTTTTTTTTTTTTTTTTTTTTTTTTTTTTTTTTTTTTTTTTTTTTTTTTTTTTTTTTTTTTTTTTTTTTTTTTTTTTTTTTTTTTTTTTCTTTTTCTTTTTTTTTTTTTTTTCTGAGCGAACATTACCCCATTCTTTCAGCATCCTTTCGAACTCCACTCTTTTAAATTATGCGATTGCGATGGTTAAGAAGTCGCAGACCTCGTTCTGAGTTGACGTCAATAGTTGAATTTGTTCTCTAAAGGGATACATTAAAGACATTAAAGGCAGTTGGCACGATAAATCCCCAAGACGAGTAGGATTAATACGCCTGGCAGGACGGAATTCCGCGACCCTGAGCAGGCGCTGCATAATGCCTTTCCCCCCCCCCCCCCCCCCCCCCCCCCCCCCCCCTAGAAAAAATGCCCTTATAAGGGCCTTATAAGCCACAACGGAAATGGGACGACCGTTCCTGACGCTCTAATCGATTCATTTGCTAAGCAAATTATGAAGCGAAGGGATTGGTATGAAGCGGCCGTGATGCTGCATGGATATATGAGTACACATATGCAGCCGTATCTTCGGTAGCGGTTATTGGCAAGATGTCTACATGAAAACTCGTCGAAAAAATTGATTTTGAACACATTGAAACCGGAGGGTCTTCCGCGACGCAGGACTTTTGGCCGTTTCACTCCGTTACTTTACGCCCGTTTCCCCACTTAATAGCCGCCCTATAGCATTTTAGGCGAGGCACCAAAATCATCATGCCAAACCGCCTCTATAAATATAGTTGTAGTGCAGAGGGCTACCAATTCCAAATTTTCATGAGTAAACAAGGGGCGGGCATACTTCCCTGACGAGTCCATAATTTCCCTGATGTCATCCTGGCCGCATGTCTTGTCTTAAAAAAAAATTTCATTTTGTCGGTACGATTTTTGTCTGTTTTTGAAATGGAAGGGAGATTTTGTTTGACACGATTCCGCTCGTTGACGTCTAGCGGCTTCTTTCCATATAGCACAGTTTTTTAGACTCCGCAGGGGCCGGATCTTTCTCCTGAGAATTTTGTGGAATTTACGTTTATGTTGATTACGTTAAGGGGAATTTGCAAAACTTCTCGTTTCCAACAGCAACATCTGCAAAAATAAGTTCTTCCAGTACGCTACGAAAGGTTCGAAAAATTCACCCATGATCAATTCTGTTTCCTTCGAAATCTGTAGGAACATTTCCATCGTGAGAGGTTCTCCGGATATCGAAAACTGTGAAGGAAAATTTTGGGACTGTTGTCAATATGAGTGCTTTTCTAGAGGTTGTTGCCACTCACTCTCTACTCACTGGTTTTACGTTCGATTCCCTCTCCAGTATGTTGGGAAAGGATGGTCATCGCTCTCCAGTACCCCACCAGTACGGGGCTTACCTTTGAAGAAAAACCTCAAGCGCTTAGCGGACTCCTTAGGAAAACAACCGTAGGTTCCCAGCTGCCCTCGGACTACGACAGAATTACTGGAAGCTACGTAATATTTTAGAGTATGTCCGAAAAGTGAGGGGCGGAGGTTTTGGTAGTGAGGGCGGAATGGCCACCTTAACCACTCCGCGGCTACTAGGTTTAACCCAAAGGCGAACTACATGGCCCCCCCCCCCCCCCCCCCCCCCCCCCCCCCCCCCCCCCCCCCCCCCCCCCCCCCCCCCCCCCCCCCCCCCCCCCCCCCCCCCCCCCCCCCCCCCCCCCCCCCCCCCCCCCCCCCCCCCCCCCCCCACCCCGAATACGGTAAATTGGTACCACATTCACCTGGGAGGATACAACACTGACTTGTACAGGTTGGCCCCCGCAAGTCATTGTATAGGCCACATCGCATTCAATAAGCTCGATTCTGAATGGAAGTAGAATGCGTGCCGCATCCCACAAAGGGATTGATTTACGGCGAAGACTTTACCCTTTTTCAGGCTTTAAGACGCCAAAGCATCTCTCTTTTGTCTTTTTTCGTGCGGGTTATGAGTTACACTCATGGGTGTCCAACTTCGCCGGGCCATCCTTCTGGTGTGCGGGGAACATTTTGTGGGAGTAATTCAGATCGTCCAGCTTCACCTAGCGATCTTTCCCCTGGTGTGTGATTGATTGATAAAGGCGAAGACTTTATCCCTTATTATTTCGGAAAATGGCATGAATCTTGGGCGCTTTCAAAGACGGTCGCGTGCTCAACCAGTTCGTGGGTCCTTCCTTGTTAAGGTAGTCTGTTCCTCAGCCCCTAACTGTCACACTTCCTCAAAGTGGTTAAGGCGCTGTGGACTCTATAAAAAGCAGTTTCGACGCCTCCCTAGTTGTTTCGCCCACCAAATCCCAAAGGCTGCTTACTTTGTCGCGAGTTCAGTTTTTACAGCGTGTTTTTTTTGTTTTTTTTTTGCTCTTAGGTGGTATCAGCACTGGATGACGCGATGAAAGAGTGAGCCAGAGGTGGCGGGATGTCGCTTTGGTCGCGTAAAGGGAACAGCTCTCTCGTGTAGTGGGGCTACCAAAGGATTCTAGGGATCTCCGTAATATTTTTTCTCTCCCTGGGTAGCCACTTACCGACTGTAGCTTAGTAAGTAAACGCCACTATCCACAATATGCAATCGCGGACTTTGTATTTAACCTTGGAAAGCTTCAAGGAAGCAGCTACCAACTCATTTTAGAAATCTCGGAGAACACTCTACAGTATTCAGACATGAAAACAACTAGAAATCATTTTGGGTTTTTTTGTACATTTTTCCAGAGTTTCGCAGGACTTTCCGACCAACTTGATATGTGTTTACATTGAGATTTTAGCGGCTACTGGATGACATCAACGCTCTCCGACCGACAGCGTTCCCAATTGTTCCTCGGTTACTCAATAGATTCTACGATGCCATACAGGTACTGCTTGCCACCTAACTTGAGATCAGTAAGCGATGCGAGTACCTCCAAAAGGATTTATTCTGAAACTTCTTGAAGAACCTTCGATTAGAATCGTTTTCCAGAGCAAATTGCGAACGAGTGGTGTCATTAAACGTATGGTCTATAATCTAGCGTACGCGAAGAAACTAGAACTCCTGAAGAAAGGTATCAGCACAAGGGACAGCATCTGGGATAAGATGGTGTTCAACAAGATCCAGGTACATCAATAGGTCTTATGGATTTTATACGGATTCAAATGGACTCCTTTTAGCGCAGCAAAATGTTTCAGGAGTTTTTTTTTTGAAAACCGCGTTCGCACTCCTTACGTTGCCTATCAAATATAACTTTTCTATCCGTATTACTCTCCACCCGTAGTCAGCCTACCCTTTTTCTGCACATCTCATGATATTATAAAAATTGAGTGGGTCAAAATTTGTGCAACAAATCCTGAGCTTATGGACCATAAGCTTTCCATAGAAGAACGGATTATACCTGCTTACGCAAACTCAACTGCTGTAGCGCTGAAAGCTCTAGTTTTCTATGAGTGCAAGATAAATTGCCCGATTCTTAATTCACGTTTAGCTGAAAGTTGATTGCGCTTTGAAGCCTTACATAACATTATCCACGGAACTCGGCCGTAAAATCACGATGGACCGTGTTTTAATGAGTTCAACGGGCCAACTTCATTCGGTTAACAAGCTGCTACAGTTTCATTCGCTAAGGATGCTGGGGGCGTCAAGAAACTGAGTTTGGTGCCAGCTCGCTCTCCATTTTCTACCAAATATTGCCGCCTCCCCGCTTCAACGAGATTGGGTGGAAGAATGAGTGGCGCCGAACGCGCGACAACGCCATGTATCACCTGTATCACCTGTATCACCTGTGCTCCCGTTGATCATCGAGTTCCTCGAGCGGGCGCCAGTAACGTCTCCATTCGTCCCTGCAACGTGCAAGAGTTGCCAATGAACTCTCTCAGCTCGAGGGACACGATGAACTTCATACCATTCGTCGTCCAGGAGGCAGCTTTCACGAATACAGTTCGTGACCATCGCATAGGCGGGTCGTCCAGCGTTCGCTGACAGAGTCCCGTGGAATCCAGTAATCGCTCTGGGCGCAGGCGGTCGGTGCCTCGGGAAAAGCATGACGTGGCCTGCCACCTGATCTGTCGAGACCATGGCGAAACCGCGGCGGCGTCTCTGATTTTCGATCGTCGCGGATGAGGATTCCCTCTCCACCATTGGTGTAGGCAGGAAACGCATGATCCGAAGCATCGCCTTTTGGCGCGTTGAATAACGCCGACCGCATGCTCATCCTGCTTTCGTAGAGTCCAAAGTCTCTGAGGCATAAGTCAAGGCAGGAAGGACCGCGAATCGAAGAGGTGGAGGGCATGGAGCTTGGTGTTCTTCGTCTTCCTTCGCACTCCTCGGAGTGTTCTTGAGGCTCCCATAGCCCGCACTCGCTTCCTTTGCTCAGCTCTGGAGCTAGGTCATTCATCATATTGATTTCACGACCTAGGTACACATAGCTAGAGCATTCAGAGATGGTCGTTCCGTTGAGCGTGAATGGGGCATCAGAAACCAATCCGTTTCTCATGAACATCGTCTTCGTTAGATTCAGCCGTAGACCGATTTTTCCACACGCGCAGTCGAATTCAGCCAGCATTCGTTCCGCTTGCTCGATGTTTGGCGTTATCAAAACGATGTCGTCAGCAAAGCGGAGATGGTGTAGTTGCCGACCGTCGATCTTCACTCCCATGTCTTCCCATTCCAGTTGACGCATGACGTTCTCGAGAGAGGCGCTGAAGAGCTTGGGCGAGATGGTGTCGCCCTGTCGGACCCCTCTCTTCACATCGATGATGATCTCCTTGTAGAATGGTGAGATCTTGGTCGTGAAGTTGCTGTAGAGCTCACGAAGAATCCTGTGTACTGAGTAGGGATTCCTTCAAGTCGATGAACGTGAGACATAACGGCATCTTGTACTCTCGCGATACTTCGATGAGCTTCGTTACCGTGTGGATGTGATCGATCGTGCTGAATCCTCTTCGAAACCCTGCTTGCCTGGCATGGCTGTCTTCGTCAGATTTCTTGCCAATCCTGTGCAGAGTTTGTAGACTACAGACAGCAGGCAGATTGGGCGATAATTGCCAATGTCGTACAGGTCTCCCTTCTTGTACAGCAACACAGTCTTGCTGGTTTTCCACGAGGTGGGTACCTTGCATTCCGACAGGTAGCGCGTGAAGTCGAGCCAGAGTTTTGACAGAACTGAACGGAGCTTTTCAAGATGTTTGCGGGGTCTGATCCTGTCGGGACCAGGTACCGTACGATTCTTTACCGAGGAGATGGCGTGTCGGACTTCGGAAGGGAGAAGTGTAGGAACGAGATATCCATCCTTGCTCCAAGCGGTATGGCACGCCCCAGAATAAACAGCGTACAAAACTGCATCTTCATCTTCATCTATCTTCTCTTCACTAGCATTATCGCCGGCGCCTTCTTGAGCTCCCTGATCTTCTTCGATGGTCGCTTGTACTGGCCCACATAGCTGATTGCCTCTCTTACTGGATGATCTTTTGGCCTTCCTAAACACGTTCCTCCATCAATCACCGGTGGCGCGCTCTTCTCCTGCTCTGGTGGACATACGCGCATGTGGTAAAGCCGTTTTGACATTTCACTCTTTCTGTCCTTTTTTACCAACGGCCCGGGGCTATAGCATTCTTCTCTTTAGTGGCTTATCTGAACCATTGTCAGCGCTTTGTCCACACCACCCTCCGCGGCTAAATTGTTTCCCTCGCATCATAGCTTCTCTGTTCCTTCTACTACGCCAGCGAAATGATCCCTCTGGTCCTTTGTACTCGGTTTTTAAGTCGGTATGCCATGAGAGGCATCTGCTGCGGAGCCTTTTCTTCGCCCGGGCAGCATTGACGTCCTTTCCAATTTCCAGGGGTGGTTTTACGAGCATTCCTTTCATTGCCCTTCACTGTCGTCTTCGGAGTTTCCGAGGAGGACGAACGGCAGACTGCAGCGTTTCCAGGTCTTTCCTTTTTCGGCGTTATCTTCTCCCTCTTCCTCGAGATCACCCTCCCTAGCATCTCTGCCTGTGCTGGCGAACCCCTCATAGAAAGGCTACTTATCCAGACTGACGGGCACCGGGGCTGAGATACCGGGAACAGGACTGCTTCCCGAGTTATGAGCGACTTGCATGTCTATTCCAGACGTTCTTCGCTGTCTCCATGCTTCAGAAGCGCATGCCCCTTCCTGCAATTTTTCGAGCCTTGACTCCTTTCCAGTGCGTGTCATAAAGACATACGTAGAACTTGGAAAATTCTGCCACAACATCATTTGAAGGGTATGTGCACGATTTACATAAATCAGCCTGGGCGACTCGTTGCCGACAGACGTCTGTCTAAAAGTGCCACTCCCATGTGTAAAAATGAAAAACCACCAGTGAGCACTCGAGCCAATCCGATCGGACGATCCAACATGTTCGGAGTACTACTCGAGCTAGCTTCTCTGGTCGCCGTCGGCCCGTCTCAGTTAGACGCCGCTTATACTGACCACAGTACACGAGTGATTGCTCTGGTCTCCACTTCCGCGGTATCACCTGCTGCTTTGTTCACACTGCTTATGCATTTGTTCTCCATCAGTTGACCTGCCAACCTGACATAGGTGTTTTATAGAGTTTTTTTGCAAAGTTGTAGATCTGTTATTGCGAGGTCCAACTCTCCGAGCAACAATATGTTTACGGGTCATCTGAAGTCACTATCACAAGCCAGGCCAATCCGTGTTTGGTTCTAGGGCACGTCTGCTCTTAGAGAAAAATCTTTTGGCCAAAACGCGCCCCTTCCATCTCGGAATACCCGCTTCAGCACGACACCTTCTCCCATATCACCATCCTACGGAAAATCCTACATCTTCCTTATTTATCTCAATTCCTTAGCACTTCTCTTTCCTGGAAATCCTTCAGTTTTCATCCGAATAACGGCCGGTGAGGAGAGGTGTGGGGCGTATTTCTGGAAGAGCACATGGAACGGGCAGACCAAAAACGAGGAAGTCTGGATCGAAAACAATTTTTTCAAAGAGTTACAACCCCCCCCCCTCCTTCCTCCCTCCCTCACCTACCAAGTAGGAGCCCTTCCGGTAGGGATCACCAAAGTACAACATGGTCGGTGGGAAACACTCTTCTCAATATCGGTTTTATTTTAGAAACAACCATAAAAAACAAGATGGTAAAAAAAACAAGTTCGCTGTTTCAGGAACAGATTGGCGGTCGAGTTTCACTCATGCTCACTGGGTCAGCGCCTATTTCTGCTGAAGTACTCGAGACGTGTCGTGTCGCAATGGGTGCCGTGATTATGGAAGGTCAGCTGTCTCTTCACTAATTTTGGCGCAGTTTACGAGACCGGGGGGCATTTTTGCTTCCATAGATGTGTCGACGCCATCTAGGTAGCTCCATGATAAGGTTTCCTCGAGTGACCACGTTTTCGATGTGGCTAGACCCATCCTGCTCCAGCTTTGAGCAAGGTTGTACAAGCTTTACCCAAAGTGGAGTTTGCAAACGCGGAACAAGGAAGCAGTGATAGTGACAAGCTCCCCCCTCCCGTCGAATAAATTTTTCTCTTTCTAGTTCCAAGGATCCGAAAAGAACGAGAACTCAGTATCTGAGGAAATATTTCACGATGACAGTCATTACTAGTTTAGGTTACGGTCAGACCGAATGCACAGCAACGGCGACAATCTCGTGGCCTACAGATTGGAAGGGTGGTCATTGCGGTGGTGTAGCGCCATGCTGCAATATCAAGCTGATAGATGTACCGGATCTCAACTACTACGCTAAAGATGGGAAAGGAGAAGTAAGCTCCCTATGCAGTTCTGGCGTCCATTTACCTCCTGCTCATTCTGTGGATTTGCTTTACTGTTGTTAATACAATCGTTCCATACCGTGGCTTTCAGATCATGATCCGCGGGCCAAGCGTAACAAAGGGCTATTACAAGGACCCAGAGAAGACAGCCGAACTCTTCGATGACCAAGGATTCCTACACACGGGTGACATCGGAGAAATGTTACCCAATGGCACTATTCGCATAATCGACCGTAAGAAGCACATTTTTAAGTTGGCACAGGTAGGAACTATAAAATTCCAATAATTGTGAAGAGACGGCGAATTCATCTTACAGGGAGAGTACGTTGCACCGGAAAAGATCGAGAACACCTACATTCGTACCCCCGTTATTCAACAAATATTTGTGGATGGTAATAGCTTAGAAAGGTAGATTTACGTGCATCGATTTCAATACAGTAGGAGGAGAACTTATTTTGTAGATATCTGATAGCCATAGTCGTTCCTGAACCGAAAATAATGGAGGAGTGGAATGCTGAACACGGAGCGCCAAATCGAACGCTCGAACAGATCTGCTCTGATAAAAAGGTATACAACATGCTTCGCTCACCTCTGTGATTGTTTTACTCATTCGACTACCCCTGTGACTGTTTCTCCTCCCCCCCCTCTTCCCTCCCAACCTCCCGCAAAAACTGTCTGCTACCTGTCATTTTCATTTATTGCAGGCCTGTGATTACGTGCTATCACAATTAGTTCAAGTCGGTAAAGAAAATAAGCTCAATTCTATGGAACAGGTTAGTTTTGACTACGAAACATTTCCGGAAGGACTATATTCAACGTGGTTTCAGGTAAAACGGATATACCTCGAGGCGGAACCGTTTAGTGTGGAGAACGGCCTGCTGACACCCACGCTCAAAGCAAAACGCCCACAATTACGGCTAAAGTACAAGGATGTTATAGAGAGGATATATCGGGGAAAATAAAGATATTTACCTTTGTTCCATTAACTTTACAATTGTCTCTCTGCGGGCGCATCTTAGCGCCGCTGAAGAACTTGCCGGACGTTGGTGAGGCTGGCGGCCCGTCTCAGCGACCCCACCCACCAGTAACGTCCCCACCCCGAATCGAAGAGCATCTTGTTAATACTTGTGTGAGAAAGTGTCTGTGACGCGTTCATTTGTTTCTGGCTTCGCGCATCTGTTCCTATCTTCCGCCTCGCTCGTTTAATGCTGAAAGTCAACTGCAAGTAAGAGGGTGTTATTTAAGGCATTTGTTACTGCTCTGTTTGCTTTTTTCTTTGCTAGCAAGTCAATATAGCCAGCAGCTATAAACTCTTGCTCAAACCCTGCCCCCACGACTAAGGATGTCTTTGGATGAACTAATTCTCTCATAACTTGTGATACACAGTCATAATCCCTGCAACTAATATGGCGTCGAACGGGGGCATGGCTTGGAGCGCAGCCTGGGCAGATGTCCCACCAATGGTAACGGGCTCAAAATGGCATCGTTGTTGGAACTAGGCCGCCCTGGCTGCGTTCCAGTACGCGTCCTCACACGCACTATTGTTTGTAGGCGTCCTAGCTGCACACTCCATTTGCTCCAGGAGCATGATATCAATGATTTGTTGAGCAGATTAGCGACTTGCCCCTTTGACTTTGACGGCCGCAGCGTGCCACTTTCTCCGCCCAAAGATGCACCGAGAGGGATCTGAAAGGTAATGATACCCCCATAGCCGTCTCCATGTTCCGCCCAAGCCGCCTCCAATGAGCAGCACTTGTGCCGATACCGAGATTCCGCAAAGGACACAATATTAAAGGTAGCGAAATATCGGAAGTGAGATGTGGCAGACAGGTCACAAGTTTGGCTATGCTTAGGCGTGCGACTGGCCGTCCTTCGGCGCAGGCTGAGTATGGAGACTACACCTAAGCAAGTATCACTACGCACTAATTCCGCTTTAGCCTCCCTGCATCTCTGTT